CCAGGAGAGGGCGTGGTGCTGGCAGGGCAGACAGACTGGGCAGTTTTGAGCCACACTGAGAGGTGTTCCCTAAAGAATAGACGTGTGCAGCTTGCTGGGTAGAAGTACACTGCAGAAGTTACGGGTTGGTTGACTGACTTTTCTCTCTCTAGGAATTACCCAGCCTGCCTTTGCTACCAATGGACAGAAAACGGATTTAAACGAAGTGCCAACGAGGGACCGCCCTTGCTGCTTGCCCTTTGTAGCATTCCTCTAATTTTCGTCACATCTCCTCGGACATTAAAAGCCGCATTTAGGCTCGAAACATGAAGCAGCTGAAAAGGAAAAGGAAAAGCAATTTCAGTGTCCAGGAAACGCAGACCCTGCTGAAGGAGATCACGAAGAGGAAGGAGGTGATCTTCTCCAAGCAGCTTAACACCACCATCAACGTGATGAAGCGCATGGCCTGGGAGGAGATCGCGCAGTGCGTCAACGCCGTGGGCGAGGGCGAGCAGCGCACGGGCGCCGAGGTCAAGCGGCGCTACCTCGACTGGCGCGCGCTCATGAAGCGCAAGCGCGTGAAGGCCGCGGGCAAGCTGGTGGCCGGCTTCCCGCTGCCCGCCTCCGACCTGGACGACTCGCTGACCGAGGACGTGGAGGACAAGGTCGCCTTCCGCGGCGACGCCGGCTTCGACTGGCAGAACGTGGCGGACTTCAGGGACGCGGGCGGGTCCCTGACCGAGGTCAAAGTGGAGGAGGAGGAGCGAGACCCGCGGAGCCCCGAGGTGAGTGCCCCCCCTGCCCCCCCGCGAGCCCCTGTGCCCGCCCGTGAGCCCCTGTGCCCGTCCCGTCCTCAGGCCCCGCGCGGGGAGCCATCGCGCAGCAGCCGGGAAGACGCTCCCGGTTTTCCAGTTAACTTACAAATAGCACAAAGTCATTCCGCTTTCTTTATATCATTAGTCTGTCTTCTCACCTAAATACACTTCTCTCCGTTATATGTTTAGTGACCTCAGATCATTCATTGTAAATATTATTCGAAATTCAAAGTTTTTTGTCCTCTAACAGTACAAGAAGATTTTAAGAACTATTTAGACAAATGAACAACCATAAAATAGAAATAATACGAAAATGGCTTTTCTCTTATAGTTTGAGATCGAGGAGGAAGAAGAAATCCTGTCGTCGGTCATCCCAGATTCCCGGAGGGAGAGTGAGCTTCCCGATTTCCCCCACATCGATGAGTTTTTTACCCTGAACTCAACGCCTTCGAGGCCCGCCTACGACGAGCCCCACTTGCTTGTAAACATAGAGAAGCAGAAGCTGGAGCTGGAGAAGCGGCGGCTGGACATCGAGGCCGAGCGGCTGCAGGTGGAGAAGGAGCGGCTGCAGGTGGAGAAGGAGCGGCTGCGGCACCTGGACTTGGAGCACGAGCGCCTCCAGCTGGAGAAGGAGCGGCTGCAGGTGGAGAGGGAGCAGCTGCGGCTGCGCATCGTCAGCGCCGAGAAGCCTCCCTTGGAAAACGAACTGGGTCCAGGAGAGAAGTCCGTACTCCAGCCGCAGGACATAGAAACGGAGAAGTTGAAACTTGAGAGAGAGCGCTTGCAGCTGGAAAAAGACAGGCTGCAGTTTTTGAAATTTGAATCCGAGAAGCTGCAGATTGAGAAGGAACGCTTACAAGTAGAGAAAGAGAGACTCCGGATTCAGAAGGACGGGCACTTGCAGTGATTTCTCTCGGTCTCCGTTAGCAAATGTTTGTTAACCATAGGTTTGTCTCTGTGTCAGGTAGTATGGAAATGGTCGCAGGATTAGCTGGTTTTCCCCGCTGTTTGATGTCAGTGTTTTCAATAGGAAAAAGAAAGTTGTATGTGGGTAACTGTATGCTTAAGTAGTATATTATATAAAAATTATGTGCCCTAGCATAAACAGAATAGCAGGAGCTATTGTGCTGTACTCCTTAAATTAGTAAAATTACATAGCCTAATCTGTGCACTCAGAGTTTACAATCATGTCTGTAAAATTCTAGCTCAGTGGTTCTCAACGGGAGTAATTTTTGCCCCCAGAAGGCACTGGGCAATGTTTGGAGACATTTTTGGTTGTCAAAACTGGGATATGGGGCAGGTTGCTGCTGCATGTAGGGGTAGAGGTCAAGGATGCCTACCTTGGGCAGTGGACAGGACAGACCCCCCACATTGAACTGTCCGGTCCCAAATCTCAATGTTACTGAGGGTGAGAAACCCTGTCCCAGCCTGTCTGTGCACCTCTAGAGCTTAGTTTTGTAGTTTCACAATATTAAAACCTCAGATATTTATGTGGGTAGTTACTTAAATGGCCAAAAAACTTAAACTATGAAACATTACTCTGTAGTATATAGAACTTAGGAAGTGATAAAAATTATAGGTATTCTATTTCCATGTTTCCACCTATAAATAACCCGATTCAGAAAACAATAGGGAACATCAGAGACAGTCCAAAATGAGTCACTTTGAAAAGAAGTTCATTCATCTAACTGTTGATGATCTAGAAGCAACACACACTTTGAAAGCTTTAGTTCCCTTTCTTCTTTAAATCCATTTTCATCATTTAGATATAAAAATTGTCATTTCAACCATGTACTGAAGTCTTAATGTAAGTGAATGGTTGAAACTAGTAAAAATGATACCAATATAAAAATGGTACCAATAGCCCATGAGCTTGAGCTCAATAAGTGGTTATTTGATTTTTAAAATAAATAATAGCAGCTCTTTGAGAGTGGGGGGTGGGGGGAGATGTCCTCTGAATCATGATGATGATGAAATGATAGTAGCTGTGTGTTATGAATTAGGGAAGTTCTTATCACACACTATCTGACCTAATCTGTAGAACAATTCTTGAGGGTAGTATCTAATATTATTACTTAATTTGAGGCTCAAACAGTGAATAAATGGCTGATCTCATATATCATGGTGTATTTTGTCTTTGCCCCTTGCTGAGAAGCAGTTTTTATTTTCTGTCTCTTTGGTTTTTATTCTGAGACCAAGGGCTTGCTTAAACTGGTGATTTGCCTTCAGTCCCCTGAAGGTGCTGTTTCCACAATCCAGCTGATTCTAATGCACACCAAAGTTGAGAATCACTGCACAAGATCACTTTGTATTTTCTGATTTCCAGGGCTGATCTGTAGCTTTAATACATCTCTTTGGTTGACAGATACTACCTTGATTCTGTGTTTGTTCCTTGATAATTTAAGAATGCCTTGAAACCATATGTGATATTGGAGTATGGATACACAAGGGGAAAATATACTTCTGCTTAGTTACCTTGACTTTGACATAGTGTTATTTTTCTATAACTCAAATAAATGCTTCTACCCTAGAAATAACATTTGCCTATACTAACTCTCTGAAAGGTGATCATTTCACGTGATGCTTTGTGCTATGAGGGTTGAAGTTATCAAGCCTGGAAGAGAGCATATCATGGTGAATGGGGGCAAGGGACCTAACGTTTGTGTTCGCATTATGAGGTGTGCTTTTCATACATCATTTTATTTGCTCCTCAGAACAACCTTTGAGCTAAGTCATCTTATGCCTACTTTTATAAGAAAGGAAACAGTGCCTCACTAGTTTAATTAACTAAATACCTGAAAAATGACATACCAATCCTAACCCATGATTTTAGTGTGAGAGCTCTAAGGAGACGTAGTGAAAGTTTGTAGGTGTAGTTACGTGTTGTAGCTTTGCCACTTACTACTTGTGAAAGCATTTAACTTGCCCTGTGATTTGATTTCCTCCCCTATAAAACAGGCTTACTGGTATCTGCTCTGCCTGTGCTCCAGAGTTTTTTTGCCTTCTTCATTCTACCCAAGTTGTTGATCAAGTCCTGTCTTCTTTCGATGCTTCAAATCAACCTCCTCCAACCTCACATGTAGTCCTTAGCATGTGGCATTTGCAACCTGTATTCCAGCAGCCTCCTGTCTCAGCTCCTTCCTTCCCAATACAGCTAATCCTCCCTGTATGACACTTCCAGAACAGATTTTCTCAAAATACTGCTTTTGTTATCTCCTGAGAATAAACGACATAAAAGATCATAGGTCCAGTCCCAGCTCCACTTTACCTGCTGGGTGACCTAGGACAGTAGGTGTCTCTGAGCCTCATTGTTCTTATCTCCATTACTTCAAATATATGTGCCCTGCTTGACTCTCACCATGTATGGAATAATAACTATATGAAAATGCAGTTTAAAACTACAAAGCAGCTTAATGATATTACAAATGTGTTCTACCTGAAATGAGTCTTCTTGCCCTGCCGGGCGTGGCTCAGTGGTTGAGTGTAGGCCTAGAATCCAGGCAATTGGGGGGTGGGGTTTCGATTCCCTGTCAGGGCACATTCCCGGCTTTCCAGCTCGATCCCCAGCAGGCGGCGTGCAGGAGGGAGCTGATCAATGACTCTCATCATTGATGTTTCTATCTCTCTCTCTCCCCCTCTCCCTTCCTCTCTGAAATCAATAAAAGATATATTAAAAAAAAAAAAGAGATGAGTCTCCCATTTCCTTCTGTGTCATGTACAGAGTCCTCAAATGTTCTTTGCCTACTTTAAGATTTTCTCTTACAAACATGATTAAATGTTTGTCAAGCTGCTCTCCAAATATTCCACAAATTTTTCTTCCCTTTGTCTTTGACCATGTTGCTTTCATCCGTGACCTTTCAATTTTCTATCCTAAGTGCGACAGCAGGCAAAGCTTTTTCAGATCTAGGGACTTGATCATTTCTACCATTCTCTACCATAACTTAAAAATATTGAACTGAATTTTGCTGAATAAAATTAGAATATTTTATCATATAAACTTGGTATTACGTCTCTCAAAGTCTCCCTGGGGAACTTTTGAATAAAATGTGAAAGTCGACATCAGTCTGCTCAGCTTATGACTCACTCCCCACTAGTCTGACTATTGCTCCTAGACCTTAGGCACGGGCCCTGGCGGCTGTGTGTGTATCTTGTGACTGATCCTTTGGCTGTACCGTTTGCACGTTGCACCGGAAGTAGACTTGGCATGGCCTTGCATTCCCTGAGCTAACTACCATTTGGAGGATTCTCGTTCCAATTAAAGATGATCTGCGTCCTGACCCAGATCCAATGTTTCTCTTGATTCTACAAATAAAAAGAGTAACAAGGATTTTAATTCGTATGTTTCCGCTACATGCTTACTCTGGTGCCCTCTGAGATTCAGGATCAGTTGTTGGCTTTAAGTTCTCTTTGCTTCCTATGCTATTTCCAGATCATTACTTCTTCATTCCTTTATGAAAAAGCAAAAACAAAACCCTGCACCTTTGAGGCAGGCACCCCAAATCACTGTCTTGTTTTCATTACTGGTCTCGGTCACATTCATTGACTCATCTCTACCATTGGTCATCCTAGGAAGTTCGTAGGGAGTTTTGGTGTCCGGGTGAAGACTCCCTGAAAGCTCTGGCCACTGAGTTGTGTCCTCACCACTCGTTTCCACTTCATCTCAAACCCTTGTTCTGTCTCAGTATTGTGGGTAGAGCCTCTTCTCCATAACAAATTCAAACACCAACTCAGTGACTACAGTCCCCAATCCTCCCAGCTTGCTGCAAGTGCTTATCATCCTCAGATCTTGAAGTCCAACTCCTCTTCCAATTTCTCCTCTCCTAACTTCTTTCCCAGCTCAAATTCCATGACCCCCAGTTCACTCAAATACCTATGCAGATTGGTGCTACTCTGAATTCACAGCCCTTTCAGGACTCGCAACACTGCCTTCCAATCTTTGCTTAGTCTACCTTCCTCGACTCTCCAAAACCATGTGCTATGGGTTGAACTGTGTCTCCCAAAAAGATATGTTGAAGTTCTAATGTCAGGCACTTGAGAATGTAATGTTATTTGGAAATAGTATTTATGGATGTAAACAAGATAAGGTCATACGGGATCAAGGTGGACCCTAAATCCAATGACTGGTATCTTTATGAGAGGGAGAGATTTTGACACGGGAATATACATGGTAGGACACGTGAAGATAGATGCAGAGATTGGAGTGATGCAACTATAAGGCAAGGAATGCCCTTGCTGGTAACTATCAGGAGGTAGGAGAGAGGCATGGAACAGATTCTCCTTTAGCTTCCAGAAGGAACTAACCCTGCTGACACCTTGATGTCAGACTTCTGGATTTCTGAACTGTGAGGGTTCTAAACTCCTAACCAAGTTGACACAAAACTAACAATCACACCTGTTGAATCAGAAACTGGGATGGGGTCCAGCAATCTGTGTTAGATAGGTTCTTCAGATGATTCACATACACACTAAGGGTTGTAAACTACAGCTCCATACTTTTTACCTAGATGCTCAGCCATTCCAATGGCTTCAATTAGTATTTATATACTGACAAGTTATTTGTATTTTAGGATAATCACTCTGGCAGTCATGTAGAAAATGGACTAAAAGGGGATATGTGAGGCAAGGAGCAAGGAGGCTTAGTAGGAGACAATTGTGACAACAGTGAGAAATTATGAGCCATTGAATTAAGTCAGTCATGGATGAAGAGTATGGGACAGTAAGGAAATATTTGAGACAAGAAATTTAAGATGTAGATTAACTGAATGTGAGAACAGTGAAGAAAAGAGGTTGTAGTATGATTTTCATGTTTCTAATTTGGGAGATTAGATAAATGGTTGTGCCACTCACTGAGACATGAAATACAAGAAGAGGTAGGGATGTAGAGTGAAAAATGAGTTTGACATGTGGCAATTGAGAAGTCAAAAAGAGATAACCAGTAGGAAATTGAATACATAGGACTAGATTAGAAGTTCTCCAGAGATTTCTGAGTTAATAATGTATAGGTGATTGGAGACATCTTGATAATGGTGAGATCAACCAGGTTAAATACGTCCTATGAGAAGAGAAAGGGACACAAGTTACAATCCTGAGTAATATCAACATGTAAGTTTTGGTTAGAGGAAAGGAAGAACATAAAGTAGACTGAGAAGGAAGAAACAGAGAATTAGTGGAAAAACTAAAAAAATGAAAAGCTCAATTGGTTTAGTTCCATATTGAGAATGTTTAGTTAATACGACTACAAGATGTTTATTGTGACTTTGGGAAGGACATTTTGGTGAAGTGATGGAACCAAATAGAGGGGTTAAATAAGGGATTAAATGCCACTCTTTTTTTTTTTTTTTAAATATGTCTTTATTGATTTCAGAGAGAGGAAAGGAGAGAGAGAGAGAGAGAGAGAGATAGAAACATCAATGATGAGAGTCATTGATCGAGCCCGCAACCCGGGCATGTACCCTGACCGGGAATTGAACCCCGATCGTCTGGATCCTAGGTCGATGCTCAACTGCTGAGCTATGCCTGGCCAGGCTAAATGCCACTCTTTTCAGTGACGAGGGTAAGAAAGGAAGGAGAGAACTTAGTCATCATCTGGAGTTGGATGAGAAGGTAAGTAGTCACATGTCTACTGATATGGGTGACTTAAGATAGAGACTAAGACCAATGGGGATCAAGGAACTGCAGGACTAGCATTTTAATACAGCATCTGTGTTGACCTTGAAGTCACTCAAGATGATACTGAAATTTAAGATGTAAAGAAAAAATAAGCCTAATGCCACAGTCCTTGACGAATGTGAGGCCATGAGACAAAAGTCACAAGACCAAATGGACACGTAGGCAGTCAATTTTGACAGCATGGTTACAAACAGGAGAGTTTTTTAATTCATGGGACAAAGGTGTAATTGTAAGGATTGCCAGTCCTTTTCTTTCTAAATTTGAAGATTATGAAGTGATATAATGAGGAGAGAGTGATAGTATCGGGAGAATGGACAATGCTCTGGGGAGTTTGAGGATGTTGGACATTTTCTTTATATTGAGGGGAATAAGGAGAATGGTGGCAGGGTCAGGGAGCGGGGGAAGCAGTGGGGAGGTAAACGGGAGTGAGAAGGATATCAGAAGAGAATG